ATAGCCCATTGTGTAGCTTTGTGCTTAATTACAAACAAACCGTTAGTCCATTTAATTATTCAGAATGAAATAACACCCACTATGACGAATATGTTTAATTAATGGTAGACCTACATTGATACTTTACTTACAAATGATAAAATTCATCACTTATGACAGCATAACTCATTCATATTTTTGTGCAACCTACAAATACGGATTTTGTTTTGTAAAAATATTTCAAACTTATTAAAAACTTCTTAATTTGAAGAACACATTATTATGTCATATTCGTTACCCCAAGTCTTCTAATATAAGTGGAAAACATATCTCACTTGTGTCTTTGTGCAGCATTTTCAAAAACAACAGGAGAAGGTTTGATAGGTGATATAAGTGATTTTGTAGCTTTAAATGTTTTATTAAAATTTTGTTTTGTACCACAATCTGAAGTGAGTCTTTTGTGCCTGTCCAGTATTGTCTGAAATAAAATTGTAAGCCATCCTTTCTGATGACTTTGAAGTAAAACTGTAACCACCCTTCCTGATAAGTCTGAAGTAAAACTGTAACCACCATTCTTAGAAAGTTTGAAATAAAACTTTAAATTACTCTTCCTGGTAAGTCTGAAATAAAATTTCAGATTGTTCAAAATATTGAAGAAAAATCTTAGTCATACTTCAAAATAAATCTTGAGGTTACTCTACACATATTATTTTAAAATAGTCTTTGATGTCAATCTTTTCCATTTATTGATAAATGATTAAATTTACCCCACATAATTCGAGGGCTTATGATTCTCTTCCCCTTGCTGCAAATGAACACGCCTGCCATATTTGGGCTGTAGGTGTGAAGGTCCAATCCTTCTGTTCGATTACAAAGGCTCAAGATATGGTGATGTATGCTTTGACTAGCTGCTGTAGCTCTTGTCTATCAGTTTATAATTAGTGTCGGCTAGTACTGATAATCCTTGTGTAGCTTTGCACGAGTTTCCGAAACAAACTAGCACTCCATGCGGTGATTTCTAAAATTAATATTATAATTTACTCTACTTGAATCATTGTGAAATGAACTTTTCGCCTAGCATAGTTTGACATGAGCTTCATGAATAATAACTTTTGAAATAGTCTTTCCTATTCACTTGAAATGGTTTTGAAATTCTGTGATAAAGAAAATAATGACTTGAAACAAATAACATTTCATCACTCATAAACTAATTGAAATTATCGGTTCTTTCAAATCTGTGATCACATTAACCATGATTTATCAAGTGCTCTACTTGGTTAATTGAAATGTGTTCTTTTATTATGTTAAACGCTTTGCTTCTAACGACAGATAAGCTATCATTTACATATCCAATTTTTCTACTGATTTTAGATTTTACAAAAAAGCGCATCCTATAAATATATTGTACACTAGCTGAAATACCCGTCCCCCGGATGGAAGTTATGTAACTTCAAGATTAATCTTAGGACATGAAAAGCTACTTCCCTCATACGTAATTGTAAA